CAAGGTCATCTGTCAAGTACCAATCCGGCTGTCCCCCTGTCCCGCGATTAAGATTATTTTTTTCTTAAAAACAATAATATTGCTCCTAAAAATCTATTTTCTGAGTTGAATCATAAAGAATCCAGTAAAATATCGAAGAATCTTATTCTTTAAATTAATCATTCAATTTTGGTATGTGTATGTAGGATAATTACACATTGATTAAAAAATAATCGGGTGAAAAATGCGTTTTATAGTTGTCACTTGTTTTTTGTCGGAGTGTAGGGAGGGGATTGGGGGATTTTTCTTAAAAACAATAATATTGCTCCTAAAAATCTATTTTCTGAGTTGAATCATAAAGAATTCAGTAAAATATCGAAGAATCTTATTTTTTAAATTAATCATTCAATTCTGGTATGTGTTTGTAAGATAATTACACATTGATTAAAAAATAATCGGGTGAAAAATGCGTTTTATCGTTGTCACTTGTTTTTCGTCGGAGTGTAGGGAGGGGATTGGCCGCATGGTGGCGCAGTGTAGACAAGAGTCGACAGGTGTCGGCGGGATTCAGTGCTGCGGCGGCCGCTCGCGAGGTTAGGCACCTTCTCAGGCCGTTCGCTCATCATCTAAACCTTCAATTAAACCCCCTGTGCACCTAAAATCCCCCCCTAAAAATCGCTAAACCAACGAATAACTCAGTGAAGTGCTCGAAACCCATGTGCATCAACGCAAAATCCACAAACCCAACACGTGACCTTCGATCTCAAAACCGAAAAGAGCGCAGACTCCAGGATACTGGTATTACGCATGTACTGGTAATATCCCAATGAATATATCAATTCTAGTTGTTTCATTTACTCTGGATCTTGAGGTTATTCGCGTTGCCTTTGTTTTCTCTGTTGAATTTTTATCTCTTTGTCGCCCTCTTTGTCTTCTTTGTCCTTGATATCTCGAAGTCAAGGTATTCTCTCATTCTCTTAGGCCTCAGGCCGAAAGAATTACACCAAATACTTTTCATTGATTAGTTCCTCACGGAAATAAAATATTCTCTAGTCTAGAGTCTAGTGTACGTAAATATTGACACGGAATTATCCGTGGAAATTCGCCTCTTGGGAATGTAGAGTCTCACTGTTTTCGTCGGTTTGTTTTGACTGATCACATCCAAACATTTGGGAGTCAGTGTTACTCATTCGCGTCTTTCAAACACACAGATAGAAATCCTTGAAATAATTTCTGCCATTTAATAGATTCATTGATAAATTCATTGTGTAGTAATAATTAATACTGCATCTAATTCGAGTTGAATGAATTTATTGATTAATTTCGCTGAAGCCTCAGATTATGGTGATATTGGGAGAATAATTGATGTGATGGGGGATAAAAAATGGAGTTTTTTTTTTGAGGGAATGTAATTTCATACTCTCAAGTCACCTGAACGCTTTATAATCTTTTAACTCTGAGAGCCACCATAGGCATTTCGATCGAGGTATGGCGCAGACTCGTTTTCCCCCTCTATCCTTTCTTCTCTGTTCCTCGTGTTTTCTCTCCGGTTGTATGTACAGCCGGTAGCCAGTACCTATATATACCTGTATATATATGTAGGATAAAGGGAGAGATATCAAGTCTCCCTTTGCCTGTCTCTCTGTCTCGTGTGTAGGAATACCGAACAATGCAAATGCATAACCTCCAACAGAATGACGAGTTCTCAGCTACAATGTGAATACCTGTATGACCCCAACAAAAAGCCAGTGCTAAACTCCTCGGAGTCCTAGACTCCTGATAACCGGACAGGTACAAACGTCTATATTTTTTTGTTGTCGATGCTTTTTATTCGACTTGTGGAACTCATTTGTATTGGATTCAAACGAAAGGGCTCTGGGGTATTCACTGGGGGTTGTTTTGTAACATTAGAATTTTAAACTTGTCTTTATTCGGACAAATCTTTCAACTGGACGAGATAGAATTCATTACGCTTCTTATGATCATTTGAGGACTTGAATCCACAAATCACCATTACAAAAGCTCTCTTAAGAGTTTAATTGGGTTAAACCAGTCTGGGACATTAAAGAGATGAATATTCATTCTTGGTGATTATTCAAAAACACGTTGTGTTCCTGAGGCCATCATCACGCTAGAATCATCTTTTTAATAATAGAAATTTTTCACTGGTAGAAATTCATTCTGGTTATAATTTTCCTGGGGCAAGTGCCAATTAGGTGGATTTTTAGTTTAAATTGTTGGGGGAAAAAAATCTGGAGGTCATCGTGAGTAGCGAATAAATTGGACTAACGTAAATTCCTCGGCTAATAAGATTAGCTTGAAAAAAAAATTAAGTTATTACACTGGTCTATCCGTGGTCAAGGTTGGCTCTAAATGATCTCGATGAAATCCATTCAGTCACGTTGCCAAAAGCACCTCAGTCTCAATAACAACTGAAAAATCCCTCAAGATCCAGAATAAAAAATTCACGAACAAAAATCCTGAAAATCAATCGTTAAACAGCAACACTCGATCTATGAATGAGTAAATAATTTCTCGAGTGTATGAATGAAAGATAATTGATTTCAGTATTTTTTTTCATGAATGAAACGATAAAAAGTAAAATAAAATGAACGAGCATGATGTAACCAATAT